CCGCTCGTGAGATATGGGAGTCCATCAAGCGCACCTTCGGTGATTCCTCCACATGGGATTACGGCAAATTCAAGGAGGATGAGCCCAAGAAGGAGTCACATGAGTGTCGAGCATGATCACAATTTGGTGATTGTGAAAGATTGCTCCACCTCATGGTCAAGTGATTATGAAGATCGATCCACTACAAGTTCACTTGACAAGGTTGATGATGATGATTCAAGTGATGCAAATAATGATCCAACCCCATGCACACTTGATGGTGATAATGGTTCATGCTCGAGCCATGATTGCGATGCTACTACAAGCCCATCCACTAGACCACATTGTTTCATGTCACAAGGTAACACCAAGGTATCAAATGCTAATGTGGTTGATTATGTTGATTCATATGATGAGCTTGTTAGTAGACTTCTAGCATAACCATGTATTTAGAAAATGAGAAAGCTAAAACGTTGAAATTGAAAAATGAAAACTCATTTCTAAAGAACTCTTGTGAAGAACATAAGAAATTACTTGATGTTCTAAAATTGAATCATGAGACACTACTTGCATCTCATGATGAATTATTAGAACAACATGCTTCTCTCATTAAAGTATTTACAAAGAAACTTAAAAAAATGAGAGCTCATCACATGGGTCATTTGATCAATCACACATTGTTGCTAACCCTTGTGATGTAGGCAAAAAGCATGTATCCACCTCTTGTGATGATTTATTAGAAATGCCATGTTCTTCACATATAGATGCTTGTTCTACTTCTATGTCTTCTGAGACTAACCTTTTGAAGGAGAACAATGAGCTCAAGAATGAAGTGAAGAAGTTGAGCAACAAGGGGGAGATGGGCTACAACTCTCAAGTCACATTTGAGCACATGTTGAAGACTCAAAGAAACTATGGTGACAAGTGTGGCCTTGGCTTCAAGAAGGAAATGACAAAGGGCGAAAGAAAGAGAGAAAAAAAGATGAAGAAGCTACAACAAAGAAAGCTCTCTCATACCATGTGCTACCGGTGTTATGAAGCGGGACACCTTGCAAATGATTGCCCTAACATTGAGAAGCTCAAGAAGATAAAAGAAGAAGAGAGGCTCAAGCATGTGAAGTGCTTCAAGTGTTGTCGTACTTGGGGTCATCTTACCTCAATGTGCCCAACCAAGCAATTGGTGAAGCAACTAGAAGAGCCTCAACCAAAGCCACAAGTAGAGCAAGAGAAGACACCCCAAACTCAAATCAAGATCAACCATGAAGACGGTGGTGACTTGATGATGAAGAAGAAGAAAACAAGAAGAGGTGGAAAGGCAAGGCATCCAATGTAAATTCAAGATGCCAAGATGATGAGCAAGAATGAAGATGAGAGGAAAGATTATGCTCACATCAAGTGCTTCAAGTGTAGAAATACGGGACATTTTGCCTCTAAGTGTCCTACCAAGCTTGAGAAGAAGGCTCAAGCAATCCATGAGAGTCAAGGCAATGGGAAGCACCACATGAGCAAGTAAGAGAAGGCTCAATCAAACAGAAAGTGCTACTCAGGCCAGAAAATAGGACACATGGCACATTCATGTCCCCTAGGTAACACTCCTAAGCCTATTTTAATTGATGATGATTACATGCTTAGGAAGGATGGTAATGGTACCTCTATGGTTGCTATTGCAAAACATCCCGCTACTCATACTAAGGCTATGCCTAAGTATGTTGCTCCTAACTTGAGAGGACCCAAAATTGTTTGGGTACCAGCAAAAAGTGGATGATTGATTGTATGTACCATCGGGCATCGGTATTGGAGACTTGATTCAATTAATTTCATATTGATCATCATATGTTGAGTCAAGACATGAAGCCTAGTGCATATCCAAACCTAATGCCATGATAATTGAGTGAAGTCCAAATGTGTTACATCATACAAGTGCTATAATTTAAGTTGTTGATGATTCATTGGATATATTTGATGGCTTGCAAATAATTGAGTTGAAACTTGCTAATTGGTTGATCATGAGCTAACCAAGGTATATCTCTTATTGATCATTTCATTTGGGTGCATATGAGTTAATTGAATTGGATAAATATACAATGTTGCTTGCTATAAGATGTTTGAATGGATAATTAATTAGTAACTCAAGTTTGGATTGATTTGTGTTGGATAAGTTCATAAGATGACATTTAGTAAGTGGATTGAATGGATATATGTCTTGTGGAAGTATTCAAACAAGTTGATTTCAAGTTTGATTCACATTTGATGAAGTATAGCTCAAATAATTGAAATCTGTCCTATTTTGAAAATCTGAGTGAGCTGTGATCTCAGCCATGTTTGAGTGATTAAAACTTATTGGATTGGTATAAAAATTGGTGTACATGCTCTAGACTTATGTTATAAGATTCTGTACAAATTTCATAAGAATTGGATAAGAGATGCTTCGGTTTTGGAGTGGATCTTATCAGCTATAGTGCAGCAATTTTCAGCATGTAGCAGTGGTGGAAGAATTAAAATCTGGTAGCATTCTAGAAGTCAAATGAAGCTTAAATTTTTATAGCTGATAGATAACTTAGTGAAGCACATCTCCACCAAATTTTGTGATATTTGGATTTATACTTTGGGAGATATGTATTTTTTTAAGAGTACAGAATCTGCTAGAAAAGTGAGAATTATTGGATTTATTTAGAGTCACTTTGATTGAAAGGTCCTCAAGTTGGAAACCCGTTTATAAGTAATTGAGTCACCTAAGTTTGGTTTTGAGATGATCTAGAAGCATGACATGCAAAGAGTACAAGGCAATTTGATTGTGGAGTGTACTTTGCACACATAGCGGTGGTTGTCTCGGGGCATCCGCTATAGCGCACTCCTGGGACAGAGGATGACCAGATGCCATGACGTCGCCAATGCTGGAGCTATCGCTTTCGATCTCATCATCGACGAGGTCATGGAAGGAGGTGGAAGCGTAGCCCGCCATCCCCATGAACTCGGACGTGAGAGGGGGCGGCGTCAGCATCCTTTGGAATCCCCGCGCGCACGCGTCCACGGGGGACGCGAAGCCGTAGGGGAACAGGTCGCACAGTGGTCGCGGTGGGGACAACAGTGTCCCTCTGGAGAGTCGGCGGAAGGTGTTAAATAGTGAGTAAAGAACAATATGTACATCACTCACCGTGGGGTTTGAGCCCAGCATGGGCTCGAGGTGGAGCGCAGGTGTCTCGACGTTGAGGTTGTCGAGTAGCTCGGGGCCGGTGGAGGGCGCTCCTCCTCTAGTGGGCGCCGGGACAAGCGCCTCCTCGCGGAGGCGGAGTACGCCGGGCTGGTCAGCGATGAAGTTCAGACTCCTGAAGAGAAAGGTCTGGAGTGGCACGAAGACGGGAGGAATCCATTTCCCAACAAATAGGAGCGTGGGAAACTCTAGCGAGCTGAAGCGAATCGTATCGCTCGAGCCCGCTATGCCGAAGATGGCGGAAAGGTGGGCCATCCAATGATCAAAAGCATGAACGCACGGCGTCCTCCCCACGGACGGCACCAAATATCGGTGCAAAATATGACCGACAAGTAAATATTTGTAGTTTTGCCGTGCGTTGTGATCGGATGTGGCCTAGCACTCAAGGACACAGGATTTATACTGGTTCAGGCAATGGGCCCTACGTCCAGTTGAGGTCGGTCGGTGACTTTATTCCTGAGCTCAGGTGCTCGAAGTTTGCTGGGGGGTTACAAACGAGTAAGGAATGAGAAGGGGGTGTTAGAGGCCCGGTCGGACTCTGAACCCCATGGCCGAGAGTGACGGGGGCTCTAACGTATACTGAGTATTGGAGCGTATGCCCTGTGTGTCTCTAGAGCTATTGAGCTGTGGTGTTCTCGAGTCATCGAGAAAGTCTTCGAGAGAGAGTGAGCAAGCCCGCTTTTCAGGAGAGCGCATCCCTTTTTATAGTTGAAAGGGATGACCTTAGAAGTCAGAGAGAAAGAGAGAAAGTGTATACGTGTGCTACCTAGTTTTGTTGCTCACACCATCGGGTACGGGATGGCTACCAGCGCCCACAATAGTGTTTATGCCTAGACGCGTCTGGCAGGCTCTACCGTGTTCGCCTAGTACGGCAAACGATGACGCCCACAACACTGTTTATGCTCTGATGCGTCTGGCAGACTCAACCGTGTTCGCTTGTCATGCCCCGACGGCAACGTTCTGCAGGTGCACAGGGCATGGCAGGGTACGGTCCTCGGTATTGCGGTTAACCGAGCGCCTTATCTACTCCGCCTGCTCCCTGGGCCCACACCGAGCAGGCGTCCCCGGTCGGTTGCTCCCAGTTGGCCCCGACCGTGTCGGTAGGGAAAGAGCAGCGAGCAGAGGTCCGGCGTATCCTCGGTCGGAGAAAAGGGGTCGAAGTCGGACTGTGGTTCCACCATGGCCAGGCCTTCCGGTCAGGGTTCACCCAGAGGTCGGGCGAGGCGGAGCCCCCAATCCAGAGGTCGGGCGAGTACGGGGCCCACCCCCAGAGGTCGGGCGAGGCGGAGCCCCCAACCTAGAGGTCGGGCGAGTGCGGGGCTCGCCCCCAGAGGTCGGGCGAGTGCGGGCCCGCCCCCAGAGGTCGGGCCTTTCCACCCCTCACTCTAAAGGTGTCCGGAGCGGTTGTCGAACCTGTTGGTGGCCAATCTTCGAACTCCTGGGCCTAGACGGACCGTAGGAGCGTTGTCAGATCTGTATCCCTCTTACCTGTGACGGGTCATGGCCTGTTCGGGGCGACCCTGGTCGGAGGTGCCGGTCGGGGACTGGATCGTGGTCTTGGCCTGTTATTGTGTATCTGGGCCAGCCCAAGTGTGTGCTGTCGTTGCGGACCAAGTTTTGTAGGGAAGTAGGTCCATTGGGGATCTCGGGTTTATAAACCTGACACATAGGTTTTGTAGCCATGTCCAGCTTGTATTGTTCTCTCCTTCACTTGTGTTGTCATGTGTGCAATGATCCAACCCGAGGAATCTCAACCCCTGGCACCAGAGGAAAGGTGGTGATACAAAGTTGAAGGCACAACGAGAGAGAATTAGCACTCCAAGATTGTTGCAATGTTTAAGAAACCCATCTGGTAATAAACAGGGCAGGTCATCAGACTTTCCAAGTGCTACGAACAAAGAAGATACCCTTTCCAATATAGCTTTGTTGGTATCCTCATTTAGTATTACCAGATTCTCTGAGGTGACAGAAATCCAACGATAAGACCTCTTTATTAACAAGGGAGTGTCGTCTTTGGCTATAAGAAATGGAACCTCCGGAATCAATTTTCCAAACACTTGGCCAACCTGTGAAGAATCGATCTTCCAAAGTATTTCCTGATGCAATGTATCACTAATGCCCCTTGTTCCATCCCCTTTAATGATACCATCGCATATCCAGTAGTTGGGAGCTTGAGCTACCCAATCAAATCCAGTGGCTCTATGAAAACTGTGTTGCAAAAATAACTCGTACAGACAACACTCTGTTACCACTGTTAGGTCGATGCCCTGCATGCATGGGTGGAGAGCAACTCTATCAGCGGCATCTTCACGCAGCAGTGCAACAAAGCTTGATGAGTCTAATAATGAATTTGACACATATGTATGAATAAAGATGTGGGTGTATCTTAGCTTGTCGGATATCTGTCTATTGCGATAAGTGTCATGTATGGTCAAAGATCGTTTTTTGAATGTCCATACCATTACGAGGTCTAATAAATCAGGATTTATACCAAATCTATTCATATCAATCTCGTCATCACTTCCATTGAGGAAAATCACCATAAACTTTGCATATATCAGGGTACGAAGAATCACTTGCGAAACACTTAGTATCACATCTCTAGAGCCATGGTCCAGACCATTGAAATCATCCTCCTCATCCTGCTTGTCAAACATTGCCATGGTTTCAAGGTCAAGCTGTAGCTCCTCTGCAATCTTCCTCTGCATCTGCCTTCTACTTTTCCATGCAGAGCAATCTATGTAAATTATCCTGTCAAATCATAGTTCTGAAGGAGTTTTCTTAGCTTTGATTGATCCAAGTTCTTGTGCTATGGATCGGAGTACTGGGGCCACCCCAAAGCCATCCCAACCATGAAAATAGATGATCTTTTTGTCTCTCTGATGCCGAATACAATCTGTTCTCTGGCCTCGCCAACGTTTCCTGCAGCGAAACGCTGAAGTGGAGCCAGCAGGAAGCAAAGTAAGACCACGTCAACTCGTTGCAGATTCAGTTAATAATAATAACAAAATAATCCGATATGAATGCATGCTCTGGTAGGGCGTATGAATAACTCAATAAATATTTGGTGGACATATACTCCAGCTACTAGTAGAGTGCACTGGTGTCTGAAAACTTGTTTGAATCAAAAGTACCAATGCTTACGGTCACGTGAATTTGGAGTAGTAGCGTACCTCTGTTTCCATGATGAAATTCCTCTTGTTGCAAGTGACCAAACAAATTAAACAGCAAAGGTGCGCACAAACCCGATCTAACCCATAAATAAGAGTCCACTGAATCTATCAAGATCCCTCTCCAGCTGCTGCAGGCGCAGAAACCATCAAAGTGTCAGTACCAAACTTAACGAGCTGATCGATCAGGGAGAAAATTTATTGCAAATAATATAGAGCAGTCACACATGCACCTGATTTCCCGTCCGACCAAGACCAAGGAAGGATGCTGCACCAATCTAACCCATCACTCATTCCATGCACATTGCCTCAGATCAGAATCAGATGAAAGCCGGCTGGAAAATACGATCACGATTCGAGAGGCGAAGGACGGCAGGAGAGGTGTGTAGCTGATGACTAACTGTTGTGCATGGTCAGGCACCACGGCAGCTATCTTGCTCTCTCAGAGACGCACACGCATATGGTTCCTTGCTTGCTGCCTTCCTCCATCTACAGTGGTACACGAGTACACCACCAAAGCATTGCCTCTTGTCTTTGCCAAAGCATGAAATTCGAGTGACCCCTTTTGCTTTCTGAACACATGTTTCCGGACGTAGCTCTGTAATTTTGCGTTAAAGACAATACATGCATGCATGACCCGGTAAAGACCGGCAGCCCTCTCTCTCTCTTTCAAAGAGAATTGATCATCTTTTTTTGTTCCTCTTTTATTCAGAGATCAGATATTGGTAAAAAAATCTCTGTCCAAGCAGTAAAATACGAGCACAGACCCGACTCTTTGAAGTTTGAACCCCTTCCCCGCCTGTAAAACAGCCCATTGCAATAATCTCTCGTGGACGTGGATATGGGCCCTTGCCCAGTTTATCCACACAGGCCCATCAGATCTTGGCCCATCGAACTTTCGGTTGGGCCAAGCCAATGAGCTGTCCGCTTCCATCAGTAGCCGAAGCCGACACGAGCAACGAGCTGAGGAGATCGGGGGGCTGCGCCTGCGGGAGCACCGGAGTCAAAGAGCCATGGCGGAGGGGGGCGGCGCGGCTGAGCGGACGGTGGAGGTCCCTCCACCGGAGACGGAGAGCATCGTGTGGAGCGAGGACAAGGGGAGGTTCGAGACGCCCGACGGCGAGGCCTTCCTCCAGTACCGCCTCCTCGACGGCCACGGGAGCGGCGCGTCTCCTGCGGCGGCGGTGATGGACATGGTGCATACGTACGTGCCGCGGAGCAAGCGCGGGCAGGGGCTCGCGGCGCGGCTCTGCGACGCCGCCTTCGCCCACGCGTCTGCCCGCGGCATGCGCGTCCTCCCCACCTGCTCCTACATCTCCGTGAGTAACCACCTGCCCACCACCTTCTTCTTCGTTCTCTGCTCTACGCGAATTCCTCTCATGCGCCGCTGCGCCTCGCTTCTCTCCTTCCGCTCTCCTTCCGCTGCTGCTTTGGGGGAGGTTACAGGAATTCATGAGTAGGATTAGTCCTCCTGATTTACCTACAGGCTACAGCGACAGCAATTTTACTCATTCAAGGCTGACGCCGTGTTTAGTTTTAGAAAGTGGAATTTGAGGCCACTGCAGTACGTTCGTTTTTATTTGGCAATTAGTGTTTAAACATGGATTAATGAGGCTCAAGACGTTCGTCTCACAATTTTTCATCAAACTGTGCAATTAGTTTTTTTTCGTTTACATTTAATGCTCCATACACATGTCGTAAATATTTAATGTGACAGATACTGTAGCACTTTTTTAGATTTTGGGGTGGAATGAACACGCACCGAATCTTCTGCTCAACTAGTGAACTGTTTCCTGAGCTGCAGGACACGTACCTGCCTCGTAATCCGGCGTTGAAGGAGCCCGTGTACAAGGATCAAGAACCCCATCCCAAACCCATCAGCATGTAGATTGTTGACCGTACAAGAAACCAGTTGCTACTAAATAAAATAAAATGCCTGTGATTTGATGACGCCTCTTCAAAGGCCTTGATGTCAGATGTTACACATTGGATATCTCGTGCAATGTTTCAGAACCATTTTATTCCGAAAAGATAATAAGCTTGAAATACTTGTAGCTTCTGCAGAACAACAGGTATAATAGCATTACCTTTCTCGTCTCGAATCCACAAAGGGAACCATTTGTCCAAACAATGAAACAAACTAGCCCTCAAAAGGGAAAACAAGTGTACATGTATTGCCCATCCAGCAATCAGCATCCATAAATGAACGCATCAGTACGTAGATGCAAAGGATTGTCGTTGCCAGCTATCAGAGACAAATTAACACAGCAAAGCATACTTCACGTGTTGTTACTGGAATACTGGTCATTCAGTACTTGAGTAGCTAAACGTCAAGGTGTCGTTCCAAAAAAATAAAAAAAAATAAAGGGGGAGGTGCCAGGTTTAACTGTACAATCAGAAAAATATATATTCAGACTAAAGAGTTTACAACGATAGACTGCTTGTTTCTATAGTACAGACCCACATTACTTCAGGAGGGTAGTTCCACTTGTTTTGACAGTGAGATTATTTCCTCCCACACAATTTTCAAGCACCAACAAGAACAAAGAACCTGTTTCCAAGCATCAACAAACATAATGTGTAATTATTCATACAACAGCATGCAACCAACCGAAGAGTGGAAACAAAACAACACTGTGTATTTACACATTGCTCTAGCAAGCGATCTGGAGGGAACGAAATCATTGGTCATCATCATTTTTGCCTGTAACAGGGCCATCAATCATCTCATTCTCCAACCGCCATCGTCGTCATGAAGAGCTCACCCAGGGACGTAGTAGTCCATCTTCTCCACGGGGAGGTTTAGCACCGAAGTATCAGCCTGAATAATTTTCACACTTCAGTTAATCATACTATGCTCGGGATAAAAAAATTGAACTACAAGTTGCAGTTAACCATCCCTCCAACGGCTGGTCACAGCGAACTAGATAAAAAGAATGTACCTCCTCAGACGGAACAAACACAAAGGGTGACAAACCCCTGCTGTGGGAAACAGCAGGCACATCTGGGTCATGCGTCTCATCCTCCTCCCAGCCCTCAACGAGTTCTAGTATGCTGCCTTTCCAGTTTTGCAGTTCAGTTGCATTCACTCCGGTGGTTAGAATCTTCAGTACATCCAACCTGTTATTTGCACCAACTGTGGTGCCTCTAAGCCTGCAGAATGTTGGCACATATTTCAAAGGCTAGGAACTGGCATAAATCATCAAAACCTGGGCAACAATTTCATACAAAATACCTAAGGCGCATCCTGACAAGTGTGTACCGATGCCCTGGATACAGGAGAGCCATTTCTATCTGCATGCCAGAAAGAGTAGCTCATATTAGGAAGAATGTGAAGGGCAGCTGAGAAAGAATAGATCGTCAGAACTCTCACCTGGCCATCCTCTGATAGTATGTAGTCACCTTTAAATACACAATCAGCCTTTGATGCCCGGAAATGCATGCACTTAACAGCATCTTTAACTTTATCTGGGGAGATCTGGTAATTCACAGGGATGAAAAAAAAAATGTAAATGGAGCGGGTGAGAAATATGATGTCGAGTGATAAATGACAACATGAGAGTTGTGATAGGGACCTTATAGAGAAACTTCCCACTAGGGAAAAATCTCAAGTAACGGTAGTAGCAAACCTGAACATGAATGGGATGTATTGTCATTAATAACACTTAGAACATCAAATCAATAAGATAACGGATAATAACATGTTCATAATGATCAGGATTTGTAAATGTGTTACGAGTTGCAAAAAAAAAAACAGTGCCACCATACCACATTGACAGTTTTCTTGAATTGCCATTCTGTAACTCCAGTATGAATATATGTGTTCCTGCTCACATAGAGACCTGAATAAGCAACAAATATCAAAGTCAGTGCAAATATAATACACCCACAATACTGAAGGCTCTATCAAATAGTATCAATTATACAGCAATCGCAACAGAGCAAATTAGGGATTAAATCAAGAACTTTCATACGGTTTTCAAAGAGAAAATTAACATTTATCGGAGAACTATCTCCATGAATTGCAATGGGATGAGTTCTCCACCTAAAACTAAACTAACAATTCCAGCTTGCCTTCATTTTAGCACACAACTGAGTCCAAGGAGCATGGCTACTGGCTTACTGCAGATCTATAGATCATACTGATAAATTACAGCTCTATGTTGTATACTTGTATGTAATATCCATGATACATCAGACCTGAGTGTGCACTGTTAGCGATAGGCGCCCTAATGGGCTGTTATAGGCCGGTGCGGTTAAGCACCTTAGGGATTAAGATAGATTGATAAGGCAAGGATCACCGTTGATTGGGTGTTTCTATAAACCCTTAGGGATCCTTGCCTATATAATGTACCCCTGTACCCCTTTAATCAATCAATCAATCCCGAGGCTAATTGCTCTCATGCACTATGCAAACTAAATTGAGCACACTAGAACAAAGTGGCAAATCACAGCTCTGTGTATCCACTTAGTATATATGAGATTTTGATTTATGTTCACAGCCCCATTCAGAAAAACATCGTAAAGAACCTTTCAAATAATCATTCAGTCACTGGTATGGTGATAATTTTATCGATGAAATCATAGAGATAAGGAAGCACATGACAAGGCTAAAAAAAGATTCAAAATCCGCAGACATTCTTATCTAATTGTAGAAATATGCTTTCGGAGTTTCGGTAATGTACTACCCCCTCCGTTCCAAATTGTAAGTCATTTTGGTTGTTCTAGATACATAGTTTTTACTACGTACCTAGACATAGCGTATATCTAGGTGCATAGAAAAACTATGTATCTAGAAGACAAAACGACTTACAATTTGGAATGGAGGGGGTATATTATATGATATAAGGCTTCTTGAATATTTACCATCAATTCGGATTCTTGGTCTCTGCAGCCACATTCTCCTCCAAGAGGAATCGTACAACGACCGAACCATCATGTAGTTTGCCTCCATTCCACTCTTCATAACATAAAAGTGGATGCTTGAGAAAACATAAGAACATGAAACTGAATAACAAAATCAAGTACACTAACCTGCCAAGTTTTCAAGCATGCAGCACGCCATAAAGTAGGATTACGTGCAGTATATTTCCACTTGCGGCAGACACATGCAGCCCTCCCTAAAGTATATGGGCTCATTCTTGTGAAAATCTGTGAAAAAAAGGCTTAAAACAGTTGAGCAAGCAGTATTGCATTGATCACTGGCTTCTTTTCATGCTGAAGTCATGATGGGATGAGGCACATGGGTGAAACTTGAGTTATGCCTTATCTACTTAGCAAGAAGGAAAAAATATCCATTTTACTCCCCCGAAGTTCCACTCGAGTCCGCTTAGCAACCTAAAGTATTGTTTGCTTTACTGAACCCCCTTAGATTACAATAAGGGTTCACAACACCCCCTATGTTGGTTTTACTAAGCAGTTTTGATGATTTGAAGATTGTGTTGCCACGTATGGTGCCACATCATCCCCATTTCATATATCCCCCCCCCTTCCCACCCCACCCCAACCCACCTACTCTCGTTGGTAAGATCAGCACCCAAACATTATCACTGATAGGATGCGCGGAGTTAAGTGCAGATTGCAACATATTTGCATTACATTTTCGTATGCTAGAAACTATTGCTAAGCCCCCTTAATGGTCTGCATGTACATCATGCCATTGCTTCCAGTCTGCATATCATACGGCGGAAGTCATGGGCTCATGGGAATACTTGGAGAGCACCACAGCAGCCGCGTGATGGCACAAAGTAACACCAATGGGATGAGCAATTGGGTATGTAGTTGCAACAGAGGGATCAGGTGGTGAGAGAGAATGAGGAACCAGATGTTAGGGTCACACAACCTTCCGTGTCATCAACAAATAGTTTAGTAAAACCAGCATAGGGGGAAGTGGGTGATCTGAGCCCTTTATTATAATCTCAAGAGATTAAGTAAACCAAATAATACTTTAAGAGGCAAAGTGGACTCTCAGGATGCTTCAGTGACAGAATGGACTTTTTCCAAGCAAGACATGTATTATGGATCAATCAAGTATATTAGTTCTTCTCCATGATGATTCAATAATACAATGAGATATACAGATATACCTAGCAGGAAATACACATGGAATGGACATAAGTGGAGAAAAATTCAGTAAAATGTTTTCCACTTATATGTTAAAAAAATGAAATAAATGCAGCTCACTTCATATAACCATCACCTCGAGCATTAGTTCATCAGGTAGGCAATGATGAATGAGTGCTGGATCAGGTTTGTAGCTCAAACTGCTGAATGGTGGCACAGGCTGAACTCTTATTCCATATAATTCTGTTAAGGAATTAGATAACAAAAGATAAAATAAAAACTGGTTAATCTATGTAGCACTAAAGAAGCTAATGTTCAATAGTCATTCTTCAATTAAAATAAAAAGGTGGCAGACAGCCAGTTCAATACTTTAATTCAAGCGACAACCTCATGTTATACTTACTCAGCCAGGGTCTATCTGTTGCAATGTATCGCATGCTTAGGAAATGATCAAATGAGTTTATGTCAGGACGAATATCAACGGAGATATCTGCATGAGAAGACATTATTATATCAGTATATCACGTAAGTGTGTGAGAGTGAATACTAAGAACAAATCCAGAATCAAGCCATAGCAACACGAATACACGATGTCCTGCAGACATGTAACTCTTGATGCAAAATATTCCTTAGCTACATTTGACGATGAGCACATGACTATGCTTAAATGGAAAGTTCAGTGAGACTGTGCATTCCCTTTATACACACATGGCATATCTCATAGAAATTGCCTTTGACATGCTCCACCACAGCACAATCCAAAACAAGGTTGTTAGGATCGGATAGAGTTTTTGATGTGAAGTGTGGTCAAGGATCAACCATAAAAAAGCCTTACCACCCCCATAATTTATCATAAGCAAAATCATTCCAAAAGTAATTATTATGTAGGATCGGAATCCTATGTAAGATCTTGCTGATATGGGATTATATGAAACTTTCATGTAGGATAGGGTGCTATAAAATTTTGGATGCATGGTGGGTTCAGTATCGTTTTGGCATGGTAAGATCATAGTATAAGATTCTAGGATCCAGATTGATATCCCAAACAACCTTGATCCTAAATGAAGAATTAGGATAGCAGTTTATCGCCTCAAACAACAGCACTAAAGTAGCACACTTCGTCAGAGGATTCCATTGACACTAGATACCTGAGGGAGTTGTTTTTCCATATTTCTATAGTCCCTGATACAGGATAACAACTTCCAACTACTGATGATGATCTCTGTATACCACATTGGATGCCATTAGAATCCTATAATCCTTTGTAATCTACTTCAATATCAAACAAACAATACAGTATCTCATGAAATGTTTGAGGAATGGTGGAAAACATGTCTGCTATTTGGTGAGAGGATCGTCTTCCCTCAATTTTACTTTGTTTGCTCACAGATTTGATTCAAATCTCAAGTGTTGGCTGTCTGTTGTAGGTAATTAGTACATGAGAACAGATAACAAGGCCCCTTGCAAACAGCTGGAATTTCCATTTGATCTACAACTTGGCTAGCTAATATTCATTGAGTAAAAAAAATCAAGAACTATTGACGAGTCCCCACAGAAGGTACTATTTTTGCCAAAGATAACGATGAACAGACAATCAGGGCATGTACTTGGCTCGAAAATAGAACTTTTTTTGTTTTATTTGAACAACACCAAATCGTGCACAGGAAAGGATTCCAATGAAATTGCACCATAACTCAATTCATTCTAAGCCACTTATGGATCACCTGATACCAAATCATTACATTCACAGGTAGACCCAAAGAAAATAATCAAAGAAGTACGAGGTGGGAGAAAATGGAGACTCTCTCCTATCAATCCCACAAATTAGCGCGGAGGAATACCTGAGGAAGCCATTAGGACCCAGAAGCTTGGACGATTTGCACTGAATCAACCAGGGGACGGCGGGAAGCTTGCGGCCACTGAGAGTTAATCCCCGTTCCCTCTTCTGATCCTCTCTCAGCTGCAAATCACGCGCCAGGAAAAAAAATCCGGACCCACGAACCAACGCTCGATGGTCCCGAGCCAACCCCCACCCCACCCCGCGGCACGCCGCGCTTCGCCGGGCAAGACCTAGGCCACGGCCCTCGCGCCCCCGCCGGCGAGCGAGCGAGCAGCGCGTCGGACCGAGACGTGGACGGCCGCCGAGAGCGCGCTCGAGATGTGGCTGGGGATGGTGGGGGAGAAACGAAACGGGAGTACGAAACGAGACGGTTCGAGGCGCGGCGCGGTAGGCGGTAGCGACCTCCCTGCCGGCTGCCGACGTTGCCGTCCCGCCCGCCTCAATTATCTGTGGACCGGGTCCCGCCCCGTGATCCAACGGCCGGCATGGCCCGCTCGCGAACGGACGGCATCCAGAGGCGTCAATGCCACAATGGGTTAGCGGCACGGCATTTACCTTTTTTTTTTCTTTTTATTCATTTTTCTGTTTTTGGATACTTTCAGTAGAGTAGAGTAGAGTGGAGGACGAACGATAGGGCAGCATGGCGGCAACCTTCTGCGCCGGCCCCGCCGCATCCGCGGCAGCAAACCCTAGCTCCGCCGGCTGCCGACCCCAGAACTGAGCTCGGGCTGGCGTGCTGCCTGCTTGCTGGCGGCCCACCCGGCCGACTCCCGCCTTCCTCTCCCTCCGGCGCCCCAATGCCGAGCTGCGGCCGCTACGCGTGGCCGCCGGCTCCGGCGTTGACCCGAAGGTGAGGGATTTCAGACCTACTCTTGCCGTTAGTGGTAACATGGTTGGGTGAGAGGCATGGAGGGAGGCGATTAGCTCGCGGAGAATTTCGCCCCTTTGGGGCACTTGCAAGCTTGAGGAGCAGAGAGAGTAGGCAAGTACTGTTCTTGGAGACGTTTGAAAAATTCTTTGTGTTAGTTCAAGATTCTCGTATGTATAGGTGTGTCTTATTCTTCAATAGCTTGTTCCATGACTAGCTGCCATTGGACTGTTACAAAGAGTGACTGATGTAGACATGGACTTTGTGTGTTAAGGTGCCATTGCTACTTTTGCGATAAATGCCCATCTTTAGTATGCTCTTAATATGCCCTGGACTACCAGAACCTGCAGTTTAGTCTACACTAGTTGGGGTTTGCCAAATACAGAAGAAGATGAACTAAAATTAGCCTGCTTTGCTATTACTATGACTAATCACATGGGTGTCTGGAGGACATGGGAAATGCCTTCATTTTTCTCTGAGCTAAATCGGACAGTTTGAAGAATAGTGTGAGAAAATAGGAGCGCAAGTATTTTTGGCGCAGTTGTAAAGTTGCATTTCGAGCTGCTATTGCAACTTGTGAGCAATGAGATGAATTAATAAAATATTATTTAAATGGTAGCAATGAAATGGGGAGAGAAACAAACCATTTCAAAAATGCTCATGTTCTCTGTTGGATCTTCTTGTCATGCATTCCATTTTGACCAAATGTGTTTCATCAAGTTTCACCAAAATGAGTACTTCGCTGCAGGTTGTCAATGGGGAAGATTTTCCTCCCATGAAGGACCTAATTCAGCTATACAGGACAGCTTTTCTAGAAGGAAATGATGAGGTTCTTGGCGAAGTTGAGAAGGCAATCACTGCTGTGGAAAAAGAGAAGAGTAGGGTAGCTTCTCAGTTTGAAAGTATTACAACCGAAATAACTTCTGGGAAGGAGAAGTTTATTCGCTTAAATGCCGATCTGGAGAATTTCCGGAAACAGACTGAAAAGGAGCGCGCAAAGTTTACATCAAATATACGGGTGGAAGTTGTTCAGAGTCTGTTACCTCTGGTTGATTGTTTTGAGAAAACGAATTTAGAGAACACACCAGAGAATGAGAAGGAGCAAAAGATCAGCACAAGCTATCAAGGCATATACAATCAGTTAGTTGAAACACTAAGATATTTGGGTGTAGGAGTTGTGGAAACAGTTGGCATGCCATTTGATCCTTCAGTAAGTAATATTTACCCTTCTGTCACCTGTTTCGTTCTCATGGTCTGGCTCTCTCCCTAAAACATTGGATGCAAACAAGAAACAACATATTGGATCCTTTTGAACATGCAAAAGGAATTCCATTCCAGGATTAACAGGTTTCCGTTCCAAATTATAAGACGTCTTGGCTTTTCCAGATACATAGTTTTTGCTATGCACCTAGATATACACTATGTCTAGATACATAGTAAAAACAATGTATCTAGAAAAAACAAAACATCTTATAATTTAGAACGGAGGGAGTACATAATAATACCGATGTTTTTTATGGCCCGGTTCATACTCATGGGATTGAGCTTAGCTTTCACACAGTTTCCCGCATCCATGTTGCAGTACATCTCTTTTGATCTAAATAATCATATTGAGTGGGAGAAAAATGATCATCAACTTTCAGTGCTTATATACAGCTAGAAAGTATGAACATATGCATGACAGCATGAGAGTTGAATAGTGTTACTTTCATGTTCATCATATATGCACCACTGTGGGGGCTCATTCTTTATGTTTTCTTACTTATTATGCAGGTCCATGAGGCCATCTCACAAGAAGCATCCATGCAATTCAAGGCAGGGATTGTCATGCATGAAGTCCGCAGAGGATTCCATTTGAAGGAGAGGCTGCTAAGGCCTGCTACTGTGAAGGTCTCTACTGGCTCTGGCAAACAAAGTGGAAGCTCATAGAGGGGGGCAAATATGCTGCTTTGTGAATCTGATGAAATGACCTTCAGGAACTGAGAGACTAGAAACCTCGCCTTTTGAGCAACATTTTTCTGTTCATAACATAACATGGTGAATGTTATCAATGTTGCTGCCAGGGAGCACCAGCTTGAAGTTTTGCTGTTACTTGTAATCTGCTAGAATTCTGTCCACCAAAAGAGAGTGAAACATTGGACACACATACCAGATTTATTGACTTCTTTTCTCCGACTATGAGTGTTTTTTCATGAATTCATCTGCCTTCTTGCTATTGGGCTACTGGGACCTTTTTCACACATTCACCTCTTGATTAAAAAAGGAAGTTTGTTAAAAAAACAACTACACCTATTAGAAGGGATTTGCATCGATTCCTATACAAACAAGCTTACAAGTTACAAGCCACAAACCACACAACTAGCGCAACAAGAACACAGATATAACAAATAAACAATTTTATTTTGGAATGTGTAAGTGTTTACAAATGAAGAATTGTTTCGGATGAATACTCTATCGTGCTTAGGTCAATTCCCTTGAATTACATGACAGCTAATCGACAACTTTTTACACCACTGTCCGGCAAGGCAGGGACTCCGAACATATCTGCTCTTTGAGCTGCAGACGCAGACCCTTGTATTACAAAAGCCCAGTATGTATGGCCTGTAACATACAAGGCATGAGGTGCTGCTCTAATTGTTAGGCACGATCTGTTGCTTTATTTCTGCCTATGCAAGTGTAACTGGTATTTATCAGTCGAACTCCAGAACAGTTTCAGCGACACGAGTTGGTGCCTCAGAAGAACTTTTCATAGTCTTGAGGTTGCTGGTCCCAAACCTCCATAAAACCTGAAACCATAAAGAATAACATTTAACAAACAACGCACAAGGGCCAAGGATCTTTGGACATGATGCATTTCCCCTTTTCTCTTTAGGAAAATTAAGAAATTAAATCACATATCTTATGTCTGTTTCAAATTTTCAACACATTCAGAGTAAAAAGGGGAAATGAAAGAATGCCAGCAAAGCCACACAGTTACCAAGAAATGACAATATAATAAAACCACATAATTGCATAAAGACAAAGCGAAGAAGCAGAAAAATTACCTATGTCACCAAGAGAACTGTATATTGGATCATCCATCACAGTTATGCCCTGCAGGAACAATAACCAAAAAATGATTGAAGTACTCCATTACAGATGACAGAAATGAGGCAATATGTGATTCTGAATTCTTTACCATAAGTCTACAATGTGATGGCTAAAAATAGCTGGAAACCTCACCTCTGAACTATTTAGGCCCATTCCATCTTGAAGTTCTGTTTGTATTGATTGGTAGCATGACATATCAGCACCGAGGTAATCTGAAATTGCAAGACTATAACCATCTTGGATACCATGTAGAGCATCGGTGTTCGCCGGAGGGTTCATCATGCCCTCCATGCTAGAATATACCATCTCACCTCTGATTGACAGCAGATTGTATTAGTACACAAATGAATCAGATTCAACATATGTGGCCAGATGCCACAGGGGGTAAAAAAGCATGTCCAGTAAACATTGTAACAACAGTTAGCTAATGCATAGACTAACATGGCCAGAGATGGCTGCTCCATATTACCAGTGCACCATGCAGAAATAACTGTGGCATGGACCAATAATAATAATTAGATTGAAAGACACCAATCCATCCTCAGCACTGCTATGACATAGTTTCTATAATCAAAATGCATGCTAGCCAGAAATCTGTAACAAGTCTGATTAATGTTCTTAAGGATAAAATTTGATTGCCACTACAGCCCAAACCCCCAAATTAATTCATGTTCCAGTAACTATGAATGGGTTTCATGTTTATCTTGAATGAAAATAAATGTGAAAATGTATACCATGCTGTTGACTATTTGACATAATGGCAGATTTGCTTCGAATCAATCATGAACCAACTAGTAGCATGATAGCTGCCGACCTTGTTTGCCAACATCACATTTTTTTAGAAATAACTTGTAGCTACCACTCATAATTTTCTATAAAAAGATGGTCACTTAAAGGTAACTAGTCCAAGACAAGTTTCTCATAGTCATAGGTCTCTGATTCCCCGTATTTTATCAACCCATAATATCGGAAATGAAAACAAGACATTCTCTCTATGACTCTCTATGTATTCTTTCACCAGGATGAAACAGCAGAGAAGAATAACTCACTTTGATTTTGAAGTGTCACAAGCACCAGCTTCAATTGGTGAGTCATCTTCGATATCAATAACTTGAACTGCCTTATTTCCCAGCAGAAATGGGGCACATGTGTCAGTATTACTTGGATTGTTACCAAGAGCTGTTCCAAAGTCAACTTGTTGATTATTTTGTAGGTCCACTGAACATCCAGCAGTGGAGCTTTGGCCTAAACGGGGGTCACCTCGCATGTCAGCAACCTCTGGACTACCAACCAGGTTGAGATCACGTATTTTAAATGAGCTAGACTGGCCAAGCTTTTCCTCTTCCATTGTCACAGCATCTTCTGCTTTGATATTAGGTAATAACTCCGAATCAACTGTTTTCCCTTTATCAGGTGGATCGATCAACACTTCATCTTGTGGTGGTGTATCTAAATTGTAAATTTGTATTCCTTTCTCAACTTGCAAATTTAAGTTATTCTGACAAGAAGCAAATGTAGGAGACAGTTCATTCGTCTCCTTATTATCCTCAACTTCATAATGTCGAGGGATGTTCTTCTGTTCTTCCATTTCTTCAGTTTCACCTTGTGTTTCCTTTTCATGGAATGTCACTGATTCTGCCACTTGATTGCAGATAGTGCTTTGTTCAGCATGTTCTTGGTCTTGGCCAACCAGCTCATCTTTACTGTCTTCCTCGATGCTAGTTACGGAATTGGTGTTAGCTTCTCCATCCATTGCCATCTGGGACATTTCTTCAGCAGTAACTGGATTGACCTGTTCAGACACAGCAATTTCTCTTTGAGCTGGTCCAACATTCCTGTTTGCAAGCACTGATCGTGGTCTTGTTGGAACTGTTCCAAAACTACAATAGTTTAGCAAATTTCTAGTGTCATTAGGCAAATTGTTCTCCATAACAGAGACCTCTTCTGACGTTGTGTCATCTTCAGCCTTCTCATGCAAAGCACTGCCATCTTCAACCTTGTCATTCAGAACACCACTATCTTCAGGCCTCCCATCTGAGACCTTTTCACCTGAGGACACTGGCAAATGTTTTGTCTCTACCTCTTGAACACCATCAGAAGAATCATTGTTGCTATTATCCTCACCATTCAACGCTTGCTCGACTACGTCTGAATTAGACACCACACTATTCTCCTGCATTTTGTTTGCCTCATTTTCATCATCCACCTCTTGCGAAGCATCAACTTTCTGCTGGGCATTGCTGTTAGAACTAGCCTTTGACCCAGTATCCTCCAGCTCCGACTCCCCCATCGCCTCCACCTTCAATGATGGCCCCTCCCCAGCCACCCCTGACACGCTACTACCAACCTCGTCAATCCCACCACCGCTTCGGCGCTCCCTTTTGAACCCAGGAGCCCCATCATCATCCTCATCATCATAACTCTGGATATCAGAATATCGCCTGTTCCTCCCCCTATCCTTTGTCCAATCTGAATACTTATTGTCAGCCCCAAATGTCCTTTTCCCCCTTCCATTATAGTTACTACTGTTGCTGCTACTGTAGTCACCACGCTGGTTCCGCCATGAGCGGGCGTTCTGAATACCACGCTCATCATCGACCTGCCGCCGGCCATTCCTGCCGCCATAGTATGCTGGGGCTTCCTGTGTCACCGAAAGCGGCAGTGGAGGTGGAGGTGGAGGCGGCGGCGGCAGCTGGCCCCAGCCTCCAGCGACGACTGTGCCGCCGCGCTGCTGCAGGGAGCCCGGTGGGAGCACGCCCTTCGCCACCAGGTACTCGGCAGCGAGGCGGCCGGCCTCCATGAGCACCTCATACTTGTTCTGCGGCGGCAGAGGCAGCGCGGCCGCCGGGAGGGGAGGCGGCGGCGGCGGGTAGAACTGCTTCTGTCCGCGGTTGTAGGCGCCGCCGCCGCGTGCGAACGGCGGCATGCCGCTGCGGCTGCCGGCATGCTGGTACTGCATCCGAGGTGGTTGGTACCCGGATCGCGGCAGCGGCAAGCTCACGCTCTGCTGCTGCGCCCAATCCATTCCCGCGGTGGCGGAATCAGATGCGGCGAGAGCAAATCAAGCAAACAAAATCGGAGACAAGGAATGGATAAAAATAAACAGAGGGCGTGCGAATCGAACCCTAGGCGGGGCGAGGTCTCAGGAGTTGACTGCGGCGGCGGCGGTGGCGAGGGCGCCGGCGGTGACCATCGGAGCCGCGTCAAACGGAGTCAGGGTTGGCGTCCCAGAGTCATAAATTTCATCTCATTTTTTGACAGAAAATGAGAGGGATTTATGAGTAGTCAAGAAGTTTGTTTCCTTTTCGTTTTTCTGGTCGGTCGTCGCGGTTGGAGCGACAGGTGGGCACACGTGTTTTCTTATCGCCACAGTGGATGTGGTTGTTGGGAGACAGACAGGTGGGCCAGAGAACTGCTTTGGTCGGTCTGTCAGTAGAGAAATGGGTCATCTGTGTGCAGATTGTGATTGGAATCAGGGTTAGGTTGGACACGTTTAGAAGTGCCCAGTGTAGCATACAGTTTTTCAGTCAGGCAAATAACACGCGATCGTTAGATCTTACACGGAGCGTGCAGATAAACATCCAATCGTTACTAACTCCCCCGTTAGACCATCTTCACCGATCCCAAATCCCCACCCTCAATACACTTTTCCCTCTTCCTAATCCTCTGCTACATATGTCCAGGGCGAAAAGGAGGAGACAAGCGTTTCCGGCGACGATTCTGTCAGCCCCTTCCCTCTCCGGCGGCCAGTTCGGCGCCAGAGATAGAGGAGGATCGGGGAATCGACGTGCGGGTGTACATAGGTTAGCTAGTTTCTTATCTAGACCTAGGTTATGCTCGTCGTCGCTTCTCGACGGTGGAGCTTGGGTTTACCGGCGGGGTGTCATTCCTCGGCGGCTTGTTGTTCCTGGCGGCGTCGGCGAGGTGGAGGCGGCGACGGCGCAGGGGAATAACTTCTCCCGACCTTTTCCTCGCCCCGGTGATGTCCTACTTCGGCGTCAACGGCAAGGTCGCGGAGATCTGCACAGGAGTCAGCGGTTGGCGGCCACTCCGTTCGGCATTTGCCGAGGTGAGTTGGGTGTCAGCCTTTTGTTTCATGGATGGAGAGGAAGCTGTGGGTTTTGTGGCGATGTGGAGGATGGATCGAGCTCGATCTCCCCGTGGCGGTTGTCGTCGTCGATGGCGGGCTTGGATCCAAGACCGAGGGTGCTTGGGGCGTGGCCTCGGCCAATGTGTGTTCAGCGGTGCCTTATCTCGTTCTTAGGGACGAGTGTCTACTTCGGCTCTTTGCAAAACGTTCGTGTGATGGAGCTCTCTCGGATCTGAGGAAGATGGCGTCTGGTGTTGGCTTCCCGCGATGATCGGTGGCGACCGATGCAGGTGGCCTTGGCGAACACAGGGTCCAGGGATTTGTTTGTAATTTTTCTCTTCTCTAGGTCCTTGTGTGCAAAAAAGGTTCAGACAGCTGTCCTCTGTATCCTACTGTGACGTACCTGTATTTCTACTGGTCTATGTACGTTTTCCTTAATATTAATGCAGGTATGTTTGATCCAAAAAAAAATTCTCCACCCTCAATGAGAAAATATATGTAGCTTGGATAATTTGGGAGTTCCAGCAGATCGATTTGGACTTCCTATGCACCTTAAATTTTAATATAACCTTATATTTATCATAAGTAAAGGAGATAAAAAGTTTCAAAATTTTAAAAATAGTTTACTATTTACTATTTTTATAAAAAATCTGCATCTATATTAAAAATAAATAGAGAATAGACACAAACACAGGTATGTACAACCAAAGATAAAATGTATATAACAAATTTATAATATTTTTCTAGTATTTATGGAACATATCTAGCATCTATAAAAGTCTTTAAACATGGGACTCAGGATCCTGTTCATCTACAGTGAATCCACGCAGACCGTCCGATCGTACCTGCAGCAGCCGGATGCTCCCACTATCCTTTGGGTTATTTGGATTCATGCCATTATAATTTTCGATGTTTGGAGAAACGTCATTACTATTCGTCTATTTTGAAGCATGTCATTACAATTCTTCGTTTCCCACAAAAATGCCACTGAATACGTATAGACACGGCGTGGGCCCAGCTGTAGATGTATACTTCATCACCCCTGTCACTGACATGCGGGCCCCACATGTCATCTTCTTCTTCCTCCTCTCCTCCTCTCCGCATGTTATTGATGCAACCTCAGCAGCATCAATAAGAAGGCCAGCCTCATCAGCCCTATTCAAAGGCATGTCAGGTAACATCTCAGAAACTTCTGGTCTTCTGCCAGTGTCCACAGCACATGTCTGCTCTTGATAGGGTGCAGCAGTGGATACGACACCATCTATTTTAGACACATTGTACAAATGACGATGCTTAAATGTCTGGACAATCCGCCAATTCGTTCCATTCTTAATATCTGGCAAATAGAAAACCTGTGTAGCTTGAGTTGCCAAAATAAAACAGTCTTTCTTGTACCATAAGCTATCAATATTGATGCTTTTACAAAATCCATCATCCCTTACTGCACTATGCTTACCATCCAATTTATACCAGTCACATCTAAACACAACAACAGTTCTTTTTTACCATCATCCTTGGCGTTGTACTGTAACTCAATAATCTCTTTCAATGTACCATAAAAATCAATCATCTCACTTCTGTATGCACCTGCACAGGCCACCCCAGAGTTTTGTGTCTTCTTGTTTTTGTCACACTCGACGGTGCAGTACCGCACACCATTGACAACACATGTGGAGTATGATCTTACTCTAAGGTTAGGGCCACAAGCTAGGGCAAATATATCATCATCTACCTCCTCTAATGCATTCAACCTCCACACCTGCAAAAGGGAATGTCTCAGCGCCAAAATAATTATCTACAAGATAACTAAAAATTTAGGATAACAATAAGATACTAACGTAATTCCTAAACCAACTCCTAAATCCCTGCTCTGTCCTTCTTTCAAGATCTACAGCAGACACCCCTGCTGCTGTTAATTCATTTTCAAACACTCTGTAACTCAAAAATAAAAAAAATCAGTAAGTTGCTAATCTGAAAATCATTACAAAACAGATGTAATATACAAAATATAGATTTAAGAACATACTTTATGTACTTCTCGGCCTGATCACAATTATGGAGAACATACCAAACCAACTTATCAAGTTCCTCAGAGTAGGAAAGATCACATGCACCAATAAGATTGACACCATGCCCAAAAACATCAACAGTATAGGCTGATTGATCTGAAAATCCAACATTTCTTGGGAGTCGATTAAACCTTGTCTCTACATCATCCATATATCTCGAGCAAAATGTGAAGGCTTCATCTGCCACATAAGCATCTGCAATTGAGCCTTCTGGGCGTGCCTTGTTCCTAACAGACCTCTTCAAAGTATACAAGCGCCGTTCAATTGGGTACATCCACCCGAACTGCACAGGTCCACGGAGGATGGCCTCATCAGGCAAGTGGATAGCAAGGTGAACCATATGACAGGTATTTCAGTCTTCATTCGAGCCAAGACATCTTTGTTTAGTTTTTGGCTACACAATTCCCTAAAAAATTTGCCGAACTTAGCAAGTGTTTGATATATGTCATCATCCAACAGCCCTCTCAGCCCAGTAGGTATAATCCTTTGCAACAGAATGTGGCAGTCATGAGTTTTTAGGCCTTGCCACTTGATTGAGTCAGCATTTAAGCATCTTTGTATATTTGAAGCATATCCATCTGGAAACTTGGCCTCCTTCAAGAAATTACAAAATTCAATCTTCTTTGACTTGGACAACGTATATCGAGCTTTGGGCATGTCATATGAATCTCCACTATGTTGTAATTGCAACTCCTTTCTAATTTTCAAATCAGCCAGATCAAGCCTTGCATTAACTATGTCCTTTGACTTCCCTTTTATGTCCAGAATGGTACCAAGGAGGCTTTCACACACATTTTTGTCAATACGATGACATCAAGATTGTGTCTAAGCTTCAGAGATGGCCAATATGGTAAGTCCCACAAATAAATCCTTCTGCCCCAAATTGGCACACGATTCCCCGAACGCTTCCTTTTCTGTCCTACTCTAACATCTCTAACCTTTTCTAATTCTTCTAGCAGCTCTTCTATGGTGAAAGTACCTGGCTTCGCACTGCTATCATGGAGGGATGCAAATTCACTATCCTTGCGCAAACGATGACCTCCCAGAAGGAAACGATAGTGCCCAATATAACATAGCTTGCTCCTTATGGCATACGATAGAGGATTTTTTGTCACAATGGAGACAAGCAAAGTAACCACTTGTGGTACGCCCTGATAGGGTACTTAGTGCTAGATAATCATGAATGCACCACAACACTGCAGCACGAAGCTTAAAATCTTTTCCGGTGATAGCATCAAGAGTATCCACACCAGACCATAGCTCAAGTAATTCTTCTACAAGAGGCTGCAAGAAAACATCAAAGGCCTTCCCCGGTGAATGAGGACCGGGAATCAACAAAGCCATCATGAAATTAGATTCATCCATGCATGCCCAAGGTGGTAAGTTGTATGGAATCACAAAAACAAGCCACATGCTATAAGATGAACTCATGTTGCTAAAAGGAATGAAACCATCTGTGGCAAGTCCAAGTCTTAGGTTTCGGGCATCTTCAGCAAAATCAGGCCAGCGGTTGTCAAAATCTTCCCATGCCTTTCCATCTGCAGGATGGGTCATTTCCTTCTCATTGTATTTCCTCTTCAACTTATGCCACTGTGCTTCCTCGGATCTTTTCTTGGAAACAAACAACCTTTGTAGCCTAGGGACCAATGGAAAATGTTGTAATACTTTTGCTGGAACCTTCTTGCTCTTAGGATCTTTCCATCTTGATGCCTCACAAATTAGACAGTTATCCAATTCTGCATGTCTTTCTAAATAGCACACAATTGTTGGGGCACACATGAATTGATACATAACCAAGTCCTAATTCACGTAGCATTTTCTTTGCTTCGTCATATGATTTTGGAATAGTATTGAACTGTGGGAAAGCTTCTGATAAGATCTTCAAAATTGCAGAAAATGTTGAGTTAGTGATCCTATAGTATGACTTCACATGGAGCATCTTGATTACAAATGTGAACCTTGAAAAATTGATGCAACCAGGATATAGCTCACGCTTAGCCTCTTCAATCAGCTGTTTGAAACGTGATGTAGCGTCCTCATTTCCATCTTCAAGTGCAGCCTCATTTCCATTTTGTTTAGACCTGACGAGTTCCCCTAACATCCCTTCAAGTCCACAGTCATTAGTGTCCTCAGATATAAAAGAATCAACATTTGCATCCTCAAGTACTGCTAGTTCCTCCAAAACATGAACATCGCTGTCCTCTCCATGATTTATCCACCTGCTATATGTGCTGGACACGCCATTGAGCAATAGGTGCCTCTCCACTTCATTTTGGTGTAGAGATTGATGGTTCATACAACGACTACATGGGCACAAAATTTGCTTATCCTCAGTAAACCTCTCTCTGACGAAGTTCATGAAAGACCGGACACCACAAATATACTGAGGCGTAAATAGAGCACCATGAATCCAACGTCTATCCATCTACATAAAAAATTACAGAAAATAAATAAATCTTCATTACAACCACTACATCAAGTAACAAATGACATCACTGAATTAAACTGTGCATCCAAATCCATACCAATCGAAGTCAGCTGAGCCAAGATCTGTAGGTGTCCGGCGATGGATCCCATGCAGGGGAGCCTTGATGGAGCCGCTGCCGCCGTTAGAACCGCTAGCCCTCAGTATCCTCTCCACCGTCGCTGCCGCTGCCACCGACTATACCAACAATGCTTCCGTTGCCGCCGCTAGCCAGGAGCTCCTATGCCGCTGCTAGTAGCTCCTAGGCCGCTGCTAGAAGCTCCTATGACGCTGCGTATGCTGCTGCCAACGCCTACGCCGCCAACGCCATAGGTCAAACGGCCACCGTGGATAGGGTCATGGAAAGGGGCGGCCAGTGCAGACAAGTGTGGTTTATGGTCAAATGGCTCCTTAATCTCAAAGCACTATAATTTGTTTGAGAAAGGACTAAAGAAAAAATAGATCAACACTATGCGAAAACAAATTCAGTATCCTAGTGGTTAGGTCCCTGCTCTTGCAACCGAGAGGTTCGCAGTTCGATTCCCAGTAGCGGCAATTTTTTTTGCACATTTAGCTTCCTCACCGACAGGTAGGTCCCACCTTCCTTGTTTACATCCTTCACCGATAGGTAGGTCCCACCTGCCTAGCGCTAGCCCCTTGCCTCTTAGTCTCTGATCAACATGACACGCTGGATGTTGGATCTGTGACCTCCCACATGAGTGCTTGACAATGGCGCCG